CCCAAACGTCCCAGGGGACGGCCCACATGTCCCATGGGACACCATGGGGCGTCCCACGTGTCCCATGGGACACATGGGGGACGTCCCAGGGCTGTCCCATGGGACTTCGTGGGACACGGGGGACGTCCCAGAGGAAGTCCAGTAGAAAACTTCCCCTCTTTACGTCTACAGAGGACGGACGGCCCCCGGGACACATGCAAGGATTGCAGCCCCCCCCCCCCACTGCCCCCCGCAAGCTTTGGATGTCCCAAAAGCCGCACGTTGCTTCCCCATCGGACGCGTGGGGCGTCCAATGTCCGTCCCATCATGGGCTGGGACGTTCAATGGCTGTCCCATGGGACACGTGGGACGTCCGAAATCTGTCCGGTGGGACAGGCATTGGAAGGCCCACGTGTCCCACGCGACTCGTGGGACGTCCAATAGCGTCCAATAGATGTCCCATGGATCACGCGTGTCCCATTGGTCGTCCTACGTGTCACCGTCCAGGGATGCAAGCGAACCACGCGCGTTGGAGTTACATGGAAACATCAGAGAAGTGTTGCTAGAAGACGGGGACACAGCCCGCGGTACGAGCGTCGGCGACGCCATCTCAATAGGCCCCGCAGCGCACTCAATCCGCGGCCGCCGAGACGTGGTGCTCTCGTCCCCGTTATACCCCGTTGGACGTTGTCATGGGTGAGTTGAGGACCCCAAGTGACTATGATGATGTTGGCGGTGACTGTAGACGAAATAATAACAAAATAATGTAGACCGTCACTGGACGTCATCGAACGCATAGTACTAGTAAATACATACCTGGGACGCATTTAATAGAAGTGTTCTTTGTTTTCAACCGCACTGAGACTGACGTCTTTTCATTGGTCGGCCGGTTAGCGCGGTCGATGCTAATGATAAAAATACGTACGCTTACACTCACTCCTTCCTCCGTTAGACGACACAGGTGGCCAGTGGGCACCGTTGTACGGGGGCGTTGAGTAACCTCCGGCCAACGAGTGGTTATTACATGGGATATCGTAGGGGGGTTACAGGCCGAGCCGGCAGAACGTGCCCGGGTTGTAAAAGCGGTCATCATGCGAGGGTGGGTGTCAAGAGGGGGAGGGAGATAAAAAAGGGTCGAGGAAAAAACAAATGTGTGAGGGTTTTCACCTTCTTCCACCCTGCGGTCGCGGTGCGCGAGACTTCAGGAAGTAAACACGTGTAGTGGGGCATTCGAACCGGCGTCTTACTAATATCAAAGTGTATTCTACCGCTGCCCTACGTGTCGTGACATGGCGTATGCGACATGCTCGTAAATCTCATGAGCGTATAGTGGGGGGCTGAAAAATTGTGTGGCACAACACCGCCAACGACGCGGCCGATAAGCGCACACTTTGCCATCCCCCCCACCCAAAAGCAGAAACTCCGAATATTGTCGTCTTGCATTGCCAATCGTTTAATGGGAAGTTTTTGGTCAGTTAAGTTTTATGTTCCACAACAAACAACATACCGTAAACGTCGGAGATTCCCCCCCCGGGGAGAGGGGATCGTTTTTTTTTCTGAAACCAACCCCCCCGGGGGGAAATTGACGCACCGGGGGGGGGTAGTTTTTTTGTTCCAACGCTACCCCGAGGGGAACCCCCCCCTCGGGGAGTTGTGCAAAATAATGATGGTCTACACACCAAACACACAGAGAGTGGCGAAACTGAGATGGATAAGGTTTACGAGCAAGCGTTCAACAAACAGAGGGAGGAGCAACGTATGAGCAACGAAGGCGAAGAGAAAAAATACAGCGAGGAGGACAGCAGCAGAGGGAGTTTGTCTCGTCCCGCAAGTAATTCCACGAAAAGAAAGGGCCCGCCTTTCAGTGACAAACGGCACACCTAAATCTCGCTCGAAGCGCATATCTGCAACAATATTTTCCGTCCCACATCGTGCTTTTCGTGCTCCGCGATGCAACAAAATCGACTCAGAAAAGCGATGCCGGGGGGGGACCCGTGGAAAAACTGGTACCCCGGGGGGAAATTGAAATACCCGGGGGGATCTTTTGTTTTTTTTCGAAAACGATCTACCCCGGGGCTAAATCAAAGAAACCATGCCTCCAGGCCGAAAAGGTAGTGGGGGGGCGTACTCTTGTGTTTGCATGCCTTAGCGGTTAGACCATTGACCACGCGTCCTCGAGAGGACGGAGCGTTGTTCCCACAGGACCGATCACCGATGGCCAATCGTTCGTTCCTACTTTGCCAAAGGCGGCTCAAAAATGTCTTCCCTAGTCTGTCTATCCTAACGATATCCCTTCCCGCCTTTTCAAACCACTTCCTACTCCCCAGTACAGTTACCCGCCCTCCCCTCTCTATTCCATGCCTCAAACATCTCCCTGTACGTCCCTTGTATTTTTCCCAGCTCAGTCATGTACACTTCCCTCTCCTCTTCGTACCACGGACATTCCGCGACTACATGAACACAGTCTTCGCATTCGAAGCCGCAATCACATTTGAACTTGTCGTCTTCGTCGTCTACCGTCCTATGTCTTCGTCGACGTTCTCGAAGGCCTATGTCCCCGGTCCTGAATTTGACCTTAAGCTTTGTCCCTGCATCCATTGGTCCATGTAGGTAATCCTTGACCCCTATTACTTCTTTCAACATTCCGTACACTTCTAGACCCTCCTTACACTTGGTTTCTTTCCTTAGATTATGTTCTTTTCTCTCGGCACAAGCAACAGATATCTTCTCCTTGAACCCCTGTAGACCTTCCGTTTCCAGCGTTTCATCTTCGTCGATGTCTAACCCCTTCCATACGTCCTCTACAACCTTGACCCATTCCGTGGGTTGTCTACCCCTCTTTTTCCTTGTCCACTTCGCCTCCCATACTATTCTCGGCAACCTCTCCTCTCCCATAGTGGGGGGAGGGGAAAAC